GGTTGAGGCCCGAAACCATTGGTTTTCGGAAAGTTGGTACGACGAGGAGTGCCGTGTCGCAGCGGAGTGAAAACAGGCTGCCTACCTCGCAACGTTACGATCGACCACAACTCGTGCAGGATGGGATAGATATTGAGAGTTGAAGAGGGAAGCGAGATGAATTTGGAGACAGAAGACGAAAGAGGCCGAAATGCGTGAGTACGAAGAGCTTGATAAGCTGACCGACAGGGGTAATGCTCGAAAATTCTAAGAAAAAAAGCGTCGGCTTGCAGAAGATTTCAAGACCGGAGCATACTCTTGTAAAAACCCCAAAGGTGATGTAGTCACCGATGCCCAGAGCATACTTAAATTATGGAGGGAACACTTCTCCAGCCCTCTGAATGGCAGTGAACGCACACCGCCGGGAGAAGGCGAACCCGATTCTCCACTCGATGATGATGGAGCAGACGTTCCATTGCCCGACCAGGAAGAAGTTCGAATAGCAATTAGCCGCCTGAAGAACAACAAAGTGGCGGGGTCCGATGGATTGCCGGCCGAGCTATTCAAACACGACGGCGAAGAACTGATAAGGAGCATGCATCATCTTCCTTGTAAAATATAGTCGGACGAAAACATGCCCAACGATTGAAATTTAAGTGTGCTATACCCTATCCACAAAAAGGGAGACCCCACAATCTGCGCCAACTACCATGGGTTCTACGAGCGTATTGTGTGAAAGATTAAAGCCCACCGTCAACAAACTGATTGGACCTTATCAGTGTGGCTTTAGACCACACACACCACCTCTTCATCTATTTCAAAGCTTCTGCCTTTATGCCGCCATGTCTGAATTTGGTATCCCCGCAAAACTAATACGGCTGTGTAAACTGACGTTGAGCAACACCAAAAGCCCCGTTAGAATCGGGAAGGACCTCTCCCAGCCGTTCGATACCTGCTTCTGGAGAAAATAATTCGAGCTGCAGAACTAAATAGAGAAGGTACCATCTTCTATAAGAGTGTACAGCTGCTGGCGTAGACTGCACACTGTACAAGGAAACAAAACAAATGGGTCTCGCAGTGAACGAGCGCAAGACGAAATATCTCCTGTCGTCAAGCAAACAGGCGTCGCACTCCCGACTTGGCTCTCACGTCACTGTTGACAGTCATAACTTTGAAGTCGTGAATAAGTTAGGCTATCTTGGAAAAAGCGTCAACACCACCACCAATGTCAGCCTGGAATTCCAACGCAGGATACCTCTTGCCAAGAGGTTGAGAAGTGAAGTCCTCTCTCGACGATCAAAAACCAAACACGATAAATCACTCATAATTCCTGTCCTGCTATATGGTGCAGACGCTTGGACGATGACAACAACTGATGAGCCGACGTTGCGAGTTTTCGAGAGAAAAATCTGCGAAAAATTTATGGTCGACGATTTATTTATACGACGACATTGACATAGTTAGCGAATTAAAAGATTGCGGCTGCGCTGGCTAGGACATGTTGTCCGAATAGACGAAAACAATCCAGCTCTGAAAGTATTCGACGCTGTACCCGTCGGGGGAAGCAGAGGAAGAGGAAGACCTCCACTACGTTGGAAGGATCAAGTGGAGAAGGACCTGGCTACGCTTGGAATATCCAATTGGCGCCACGTAGCGAAAAGAAGAGACGGGAGAGACAGGAAATCAACCTGCCATACAAGTTTTTATATCTTATCAGTCACTCACGCCTAATCTTACTTCTTGAAGGATAAACTTTTCTACTTGTAAATTTCGAAATTTCTGTGTTTTACAAAAAATTATTATTCAGTACAACTGCAAAACTGTACCTACGCATATGTATGCCAGGAAAAGTACAGTGATGTAGCAAGTCCAACACTCGACAAGTATCAATTAAGGATAATTACTAAACAAAAACGTATGCGAATGTCAACCAGCAATCTGAGACGGACGTTCGGGCGCCAACCTAGCACGGATATCGAAATATCCATACCAACACTTTATGGTTTTAGCGAAAATATTGAAAAAGAAAGGGAAACCATGAGAGTTATGAAACACTTTCACTGCAACCTTGAAGCGGTATTATTTGTTTTCCTCACAGGAATTATATATTGCACGCTGATTTTTACTTTTTGCAGCCAAAATCATAACAACAAAACAGATCCAATTAGCGAGTAGCACGTTAAAACCGCTGCTTTCATTTTTACTTTGCGCTGCTCACCTGTCAGCGAGCAACGCTCGGTAGTACTCCTCCGGACAGTTGTGTTCGGGCGGTTGGCAATGGTGCGCCCAGTACTTGAGCGGCGTAAAGAATTCTTTCATCTGCATGGCGCGTATACGCGGTGCTTGTATACGCCACAATTGGGCTGATCGTGGTTGTTGTTGCGGTTTTCGGTGGGCTTGTTGCGCATTCTCACTTTTCCATTTCAAGCTTTCAGCGGCACCTGCCAACAGCGCATTTAGATTGTATGCATCCTTACCATCTGCCAGATTGCCGCTAACTTTGAAGGGGTGCGTCAATTTAATATCAGCATTGTTGTTGTTATCCATGCTGGAAAGGCCCAGAATATCATCGCTGTTGGTGTTTGTGCTAGTGTAGCCATTTGTGGCAACATTGCCGCCGTCTAAACGAAATCCGGTTGCATCCTTCTTCGGGCGCACCACCTGCCATTGGAGTGGCTGCGGATTTGCAACGGCATAAGTATGCTGCTGTGGTAAGGGAATCGTGGTGGCATCAGCTGTTATGGTAGCGCTTCCGCGGCTGTCTCGTGTTTGGCGAACATGCTGCCGTGCCAAGGATGCCGCAGTGGCGATAAGCGATGGTGGCAAAGATAAAACCGTTGCACCGCAATAAATTGTAAACGTGGCGACAAGCACGGGAAGCGTGATCTTCATGCCGTTTCTCGGTTTTCGGCTACCTCTTGCAAACACACACATTCATACACGGCGGCGAACAATTGAAATCAAAGAAAAAACCCGATATTGGGCTGTTTAATTTCTGTTTTTTACTTCCTTTGTTGAATGTTACTTGGCGTTCTTGTTTATTTCGACACAATTTGTGTACCCGGTTATCTTTTTCGAGTACCACTAACGCGCACAACGTGGTGGTTCCAAGCGTCTTTGACAGAAACTGAAAGTTGCTGAACATCTTTGACTCGCTTTTATATCAGTATCGATAGCGGATGCACCAGCGTCGATTTGGATCGCGGCGGTCTATTGGGGAATTGGCCAAGAAGTGACCAGCAGCCCACCCAGGCGTAGGTGCGCTTTGGGGACTGCGGCATTGTTTGGAGCGCTGATGTTACTTTGCCGGTTCGATGGTCGGGCGAATAACTTCTGCGTTCACTAAGCGAGTGTTGTGGCCACCATGGTCACCGACGCGACTGCTGAGTTGCCATTTGTTTGCAGTGTTCATGAATGCGTGAAATTAAATATGTGTACTGCTGTTGGCTTTTATGTTGCATGTGTGACTGCGTGCCAATAATCTACTGTTTAAAGTTGCGGATGTAGTATTTGTATTAAAGGCCCGAAGGAGTATAATTTTACTAGAAATCCTATTAATATTCCAAAAGAAAATTTAGAATAAAAATATAAATTAGTTTAATATCAAACCGAATGCAAAATTCTGATTTAAAAATTATGCTCTCCTCAAATCAAGGCTGTTTGTGCACTCAGTCGACATTACTACACAAAATGTAGTATGTTGAAATATAGTAAGTCTGTACATTCATAGAGATCAAGCGCACAGAATTCGAAAGCAAATTGCAGCGTTTGAAATAACCATTTCCGACATTTTGAGGTCTTTCATAAGCACTCATTCATATAGTATAAAATGTGTATGTGTAGTTGGTGGTGAGCTTGTCGTCTGGACGGCACTAAAAGTAGCGGCACATCAACTACGAAAGGCGCGTTGCCACCAATCAGTGACTCAAATAAAACTACTGAAGAAATTTGAAATATCTTGCACCACATAAATTAATCACGTCCTGGTGCAAGACAAATGAGGCGCTGAATTCAACCGGACAGGGTCGCGAAGAAAAGGTTAATAACAAGACACAAGGAGGCGCTTTCAGGCCAATCAAATGCCGATAAAACAAAAAACTAACTGGAACCGCGTTGGGGACCAAAGTGCGAGTTGCTTGTTATGGGTTACTTTCTTTCAATGAGCTTGCTTCTTCTCCATTTCGGCTTCATTTTATTTCTGGACGCTTTATTGTCTGGGGCACTCGTAAATTTATTACGCTCTAATCTAGGATCGGAATTGTGGGGTAAAGGTTTAGAGGGCTTTCATGCCTACAATCGCTACTTCATGGAGAATGCATTGGCTAACACTGCAGTGATGATACAAAAGCTGGCAGCAAGGAGGCAGAACCTGTTCACTCGCTTTAAATTAAGTAATACACCTAATAATCAATGACGATACACCACTGTTCCCTCCTTTTGTTGCCAAGCCATTACCGGTTGGCGGATGCTTATCTTTTGCAATCTTTTGAACTGCAGTGCTATTTTATTGTCATAGTTTTGTGTTACTATTGGCTTGTCTACTCAGTCGCGACGTTCTAATTTATTTTCTGCAGATATCTACTGCATTATTATAAATGAACCACTGTATCGAACTCTGCTAGTGCCTCAGTCTTGACTGCGAACAAGCATTTTGTCGAAAAAGCGGCAATCTGATCCGATCAAGCCAGCAATGGGAATTGAGCTTTGGATTTTTTTTTTCGTATGTGGATATATTGCTTCCAGATTAAGATGGCAATCAATTACAGTTGAAAAATGGAAGGGAAAGAATTTCAATTGAGTAGATGGAGGCTAGCCAATCTCGAAACATGATTTCAATTAAAAGAGTAATAGTAAAAAATTATACTTCCAACTGAAATTAGTTAAAGGGTGTAATCGTGTATTTACATGAGCTATCAAATGTTGCAAATAATTTAAGAATAATAACAATATTAATAATTATTTCTTTATATTTCCATATAAAAATAAAAACAACATTTTTAACATTTTAACATTTTTTGCAGCACGAAATCAATGAAGTATTTGAGGAACGTCGCGCCAGACAACGCGAGCAGCAAATGCAGCAGTGCAACCAAAGTAAAACATACCCTAATGATGCTGTTGTTATTAATAACTACCATAGCAGCGATAACGGACTATCCCAGTGTGATGTAGTTGACGCGGCATCAGAAGCGACTAACACTAACACTGCAGAAATTGCAAGCCAGCATGCGACAAGTGTGGACAATGACAGCAAACTTTCAATGACATCCACAACGGGTTACACGCCTCGCTTTCGCACTACAACCGAACTCAAAGCTTTACCGCCGCCACCTCTCGTCCCCACCAACCAGTCTTCTGAAAACAACCAGGACGAAGATAACTCTAGCTCTAGTGCCGCTGGCAGCAATGAAGATTACTCCACCATAGTCACCACTCAGGAGGATGTGAATATTTGGGCAAATAAATTTTTACGGGATTTGGATAATTTGATGTCATCGACTCGTCCACTTTCTCTAAGCGCCTGTTCATCGCCAACTTCGAAGACTTCACCTCAATTACTATCCGCAGCTGCCACGGCTGCCATTCAGAGCCGTTATGGGCGATTTGCAGCTGAACGTGCCGAAAACTGGATATCCAACGGATTAATGCTATTGCGACCAGAGAAACACGTATGTACAAAAATGGATGGTTTATTCTAATATTGCTTTCAGTTATGATTATCCATATTTCTCTTCTGGATTTGTTATTTCTTAAAAGATCCCGAATAGTTTATTTTAGGCTCTATGCCGATCCTCAAATTGGGGAGCATATCTTCGCTGCTAAAGACGCTCGTTTGTAAAGCCAGAAAACTCTTATTGTAGCATAGCATGTTGCGAAAAGTTTCTTGGTTAACCAGTCAAATATCTGCTTAATAATTTTAAATATAATTCGCAGTATTTTTTGCTTATCTTAAGGAATAAGATCCGAGGCGATTAGCCCTGAAAAAATTATTGGCACAAAGCAAATATTGAGGGAATCTCCTTACAAACAACTTCTACAACTGGCATTCGTATCGTGTGTTACCGTTTCGCATGCCGGCTAAAACCTCAACACCGATCTTACGATTGAGCAAGTAGTTAATAGATGATATGTCGGCCGTTAAGTTCAGCAAGAAGATAGCGGAGAATTTCCCGCTAAAAGTTAAAAAAAAAGTCTAAAATAACACTATAAGTTTTTGGAATTAATTTATTTTTTGAACGAAAGGCTAGTCCTTTTAATTGAAATCATTACAATCCAAAGAGGAAATGCAGTCAATTGCTTTAAAAGCATTTTGCAACGGAAAATGCAGACACTTTGTCTTCAACCCGTTAAGCATCAATTAAATCCACCATACCGAAATGAGGTTTTATCAGCTAATGTACGGTGTGCTGAGCTAGACAATCAAAATTGGCTTGCATCGACTAACGTCTGATTCGATGCATATTTACGATATTTACGAGCACATTTTTTGTTGAACTGATAGCCTTCGAATGCAGGTGAACGCCATTAACTCTAACGGTTTCCACTGTTATCTTGATGTAAACACATGTTTGGGCACACGTTCGCGACAGTGTGCAGCTGCCTCGCAATTCGGGACTAAGTTATGTCTCCACAAACTCACATTACATGTAGCACAGTAACAATACAGAGGAGTAGCAACTGTTGTGCATCGGTAAGGAGGTACGTCACGGCCGCTTATTGATACGGCAATACGGGAGCCCGTCACGCCGCCGCGAGTAAGTTAAGGTCGCGCTGTTGTAGCGCACTTAAGTGACATCACCGTGGTACGAATTAAAAATTTATGGTAATTTTGCGATCGGTTTCATAAATTCAAGCACCTTTTGCATGCGAACCCATGCAAGCGACAGAACGACAGAGATGGCGGGCGAGGAAGAAGAAAATATTGCAATGCGCCCAAACAATTGGTAAAATAAAAGACAATGCGTGTAGAAGGAAAAATCGCAGAGGGTAGCCGAAATCAAAGCAAAGGTAAAAAATTGCACTGGCACGTTTCGGAGCGGTCTGCATGGATGTATTTATGCGGTGGACTTGCTGCTAATGCAGTTGCTTTAGTGGTGCCATCGATGCTTGTTGCCAGCCAAAGTTTGCCTCCGTCTACTGATTTTAGTCACAAATAGCATCAATAATGAATGCTGGAGATTACACGGTGCCCCGCGACATGCTGAGTAGGGAGGCTAAAACGTCCCCCGTTGCAACAGCGTTTGCTATTGTTACTTATTACTTGTTGCTTGTCGCCGGCGCATGTTTGTTGTTTGTAACTTATTGGCACTTTATTCGCACTGAGCGCTATTTTCATACGTTTTTCGAGTCGAAAACCCATGATGTTTTGTGTGCCACAAGTAGATGCAATAATGAGAGCAACCTGCCTGATGCAGTCTACACAAACTCGTGTGTGTGTGATTTTTTCAGGTTGAATTGTGCTAGATTAGATTTTTATTATCCTCATAACATTTTCCACCAATTTACGATTTTTGTTCATGTTACTTGCATTTGGTTTGATCTTTGAATTCAAGATTTTCTCTTCGCTTAAGTATGTGTTGATGTTTATTTATTTATTTTTTTTTTTTTTTGTTGTTTTGTTGCACAGTGTGTTCGGGTCATGTTTTGGATCTGTCGCTGAAAGGCTAGTTTTTTACAATAGCTACGTAGGTTGCCTTTTATATTTCGGGACTTAGCAACACTAATTTTGCAATCTGGAAACTCACAATTGTATTGACATTTTTTATGGTACGCATAATCAGGACGTTTCGACATACGAGCGGAGTTTGTATTGTTTACCAGACGTTAGTCGATGCATTGTTTATTCAAAAAAATGAAGTTAAATCGCGAACTTTTCCCGCGATTATTTATTGCAACTCATCAAAAGTGCTTATATCAATGTCTGACGATGAAACGTCATCACTGACCAGTGTTAATCGGTGGTCTGGTGAACTCAATCGTAGATCACTCTATGACGAATTTTGAAATATCGTCCAAAACCAGATGCTGTTCCGGTAACTATTGTTGATGTTCCCTAGTGGGATTAACAATCATTCAATATCGCATGAACAACAATTGGATCCTACACAGTTGTCAAACCCTCAAAAAATGTTCCGATCGATTGGCCGAGAGAAATGTTAGCCAAATCTGATAGCGGTGCTTCGAAACACGTCTATGACGTCGTGACAGGTAATTGATCGAGGACTTGCATGTATGAGTCCTAAATTAAACAGCATTCGACTGTATGGGTGTTTCAAGATGAGCTGAACCTAGCAAAAGTAGGTCGCACACGAAGTTTTTTGGAAACAGTAGACAAGGCGCAACCGTACATCTGGAACAACGCAGAACAGTAAATTCAGCGAAGTATGCAACTATTTGTTCGCCAGTTGTCTTTCGTGAAATAAGGGAAACCACTCTCCGAAAACGGATCACTCTTCATCACGACATTGCTAGCTTTCACACATCGACTCAAACAACAGCACTTTGAGTTCTCAAAACATCGATTTGATGAGTAATTCTTTGTAAAGTCTTTCCCTGTCACCGAATTACTTCCTTTTTTCCGCTCGTAAAGAAAAAGTACGAGTTCAACGTTTTTTGACACTCAATGTAGAATAGTTTGAAAAGCCATTTTCGATGATTAAAATTGATTTTTGTTCTCGAATCCCGAAATATAAAAGACAACCTACATTGACAAACGTTTGTTCGTGGATACGACTTGGCGTGGCTCTTCTCAGTGAGAGGACAAGACGAGTTATTTTTTTTTATTATTCACTTTATTATTTGACAAAACAAAATAGCTTAAGTAAATTTGAATGACCAACGGAGCTCAAAGCATGTCCGCAGAGTACTCAAAGGTTTTGAATTTATTCCAAGACGAATTTTGCAGCTTTAAGTTTGAGAGGAGTTTTGACTTGAGATAGAAAATATGGGAAAAAACTTTGAACATCATCATATTTGTGAATTGATTGAATAAATCGAAATACTGTAAGCGATCTTTAGGGTCGCAATGCTCCGAGTAAGTCCCAACTACAGCGTTCTACCATTTATACCATAAGGGCCTAACTCCTTTTAGGTTATAACATTGACTGCCGTGGAAGATATCCATCTAAACCAGCACTCATCTCTCACACTGTATCTTGTTAATTCCACTACATATTTCAAGATCCTAAATACCAGATCACTCAATTCCTTCTATGCTTAAAGAAGAAACTTTATGGTATATTTATCATATATACTATGCCAAAGTAATTTTCAATATACATAATTATTACTGAATTACTAAGACCAACTCGAACAGACTTGGTTCCCTAACATATCTAAAAAGTAAATTCATAGATGTACCGAAACGGTATATCTGTAAAGCAGGTGTTTCTTGATTAAAATTAACTTTTTGTGGGCGCTGTCATTTCACATATTCATTATTATCGTTGGCATATGGAAGACGCAACTAAAATACGCATTATATTTTAAAATAAAAAAATATAAATATAAACCATATATGTCATAAGGCCAAGTGTTGCAAGCTAGAAGCTAATGTGGTACACATAAGTTTACAAGAGAAGCTCAAAGCGAAAAACAATGAAAGTAAATAGAAGAACTACTGTTGCTCGCCACTACAGACCTATGAACAGAAACATTGTATACCCTCAGTTTATCTAAAAACTACTGAAATGTGTAAACAAAGCCAAACGCCTGTCAACGTTCTTACGATAAAATGGTGATCAACTCGAAAGGCGCCTAGGGCAGACAACAACCTAGCACTCGTTGAAGCATGGAGCATAGGAAGTGTAGCGTTCGCGCAGCTGTACGTTTCTCTCTATCGCTGTTTTCCCCCGAAACGTCGAGCATAAGCATAGAAAACTCACATTTTCAACTATTTCAAAATTTAAACTTTCAACCGCACTGCATATAAATTCCAAATTAAAGACTTTGTGTAGCTGGCAGTTATGTCATTTGTTGTTGTAGGTGTTGTTGGCATTGTCGTTGCACTCAAATTGAGATCACTATAAAAATAACACTTAAGAGCATTAACATCGCCTGTTGGCCAGCACTTTCTTTTTTGTCTCAACCCTATTCTCTATTTTATCGGAAGGGTATTATTCCAAGTGAATTCACTTCAACTCCCTTGCAACGCTGTACATTGGTTTGTCTCTTAAGGGGCTATACCAGTGTGACATTTTAAAACCTAAAATTTTTTCTGTTTTGCTTATTCGATAGTTTATATTTCCAAAAATATGCATCTTCCAAAATAATTCCAATTTGGCATTAAAAAAACGACAATTTTTTTAGCTAAAAAACGATTTTTCTTTTCAATATTACGCCATTTTGTTAATTTTAGATATTTTTAAAGATCGTAGGTCATTGTAAAGGAAATAGCTTTGAATTTATTAAACTTTTAGAATTTTTTTGTTTCAGCTACTCATTCGGCCGAAATCATGTCAGCAGTGGGGTCTCTTTTTTTTTGGCACCTCCGAAGACTGCATATAACTCCGTTATATTTTAATTATTTTGGTAAAAAAAAAATCTCAGCTTTATTTATATATCTTATTATATACAAAGAAGTTCGAAACATTTTTTTTTTGTTTTTTTTTTTTGTTTTTGAAATTCACGAAAATCGCCTAATTTTTTATGCGTTACACTAGTATAGCCT